GGGGGAGTGCATCAAAATGGTTGGCGCTCACCGTGCACGGCGTGTGTGGGGCCGTGTCTCCCCTACATTTTTTAATAAATGTAGGAGAGCGAAGCCCTTGTATCGGGTATTTTGTATAAATGTATTTTGAGCCTTTTCCGAGCGGGAAGGGATAAATAATATTAAGTTAATAATGTAAAACATTTAGAAAGATCAAAACATATTTTATTTATCCTAGTCACATATTATATATAATTTTTATTATAAAGGGGAATTAATTATATTTAATCTAATATATTTATTATTATGAGAGGGGGGGAAGTGTTACAATGGCCATTAAAGTCTCCGAGAACAAGGTAAGGTGGAGAGATGCTTGATAGAATTAAATTGAGTTCTGATATACAAGAAGGTGTGAGAGCCGGAATGTAAATGGATTTGGAGATTGTGATGTCCATAGCCTTAACAGCTACTGCATTTATATTGCCTTGTACAGGAGGAAGAGGAATGGGTGATAAGGGAATGGTCCTGTTTAGTAAAATCAGAGCGCCACCACAGCCGTCGCTCCTATCACTACGATAACAGGAGAATCCTGGGATTCTAAATGTGGAGCCTGGCTTAAGCCAGGTTTCCGATATTAAAGGGTTATGAGCTTATGAGTATTAATTAAGGGAATTATATCAGATTTTTTATTCCTGATGCTTCGACAATTCCACTGGAGGAGAGTTAGGGATTCTAACTTTATACATTCTGGAGAAGAGGACATCTAGTTTGCTTTTCACGTTGAACGGTAAATGGGAATCTTCGAATTTGTCAACAATATCTGTAAGAGAGGCCACAAGATTTTCTAGAAGATTATCATTAGGAGATATTATATTGCTTTGTAAAGCATGTTCATTGGGAAGAGAGGATGGAGTACTTGTAATGTTATAGAGTGAAACTTTATCATGTCCTAGTGACGATTGCACTGGCATAGATTTGGCTTTATAAATAGTTTTCCTATAGGACTGAGAAGGAGACAGAGTAGGAGGGTTTATAGATGCCTGAGGAGATGAGAGATGGCTTACAGGAATTTGTGAAGATGCTACATCAGAATAAGGTCTTCTGACAGCCGGGAAACGGGCGGAAGCCTCAAGGTATGATACATTCTCCTGTGACATTACTATTTTGATAGCTTTTTGCCTTGAGTGCTCTGGGCAACTTTTTTCAACATCCATATGATTTGCAGAGCAGAAAAGACAGGTTGGGGAATCCAGTGCGCTCCTTGCTGCATTTAAAGCATCGTGGTTTCGATCGACATTGGGCTTTGACATGTCCGAAACGGCAACATTTTAGACTTTGGATAGTAGGAAGAAGGTAAGTTTCGACTGGTATGGAATCATAAAAGCAATATAAATGGGAGGGGAGCACTTGTCCTGAGAAGGTGAGGACAAGAGTTTGAGTTGGAACCCACTCCACTTCATCACCTTTTTGACCTTTCTGTTAAGTCTTCTGGCTTTAATGATTTTTCCTCTGCCAGGAGGGAGCTGAGACTCGCCTACTAATTCCTCCATAGAGATGTCAGTCGGGATACCCCTGATCACACCCATACGGGTAACATTAAAAGTTGGAATGACAGCAGAAAGTTTATAATGCAAGAGAAACTCAGAGTCAATAAAATTATTAGCATCAGTAGCAGTTTTAAAAGCAATTGAAACCCTGTTGCGCCCTAAAATTTTGATAACCTGTTTTTCAATATTTGCCACTTTATTTTGAGTAAGGATATGACCAATTTTCACAGGTCTAATTGTATAACCTGCTGATGGATCAGGTTCTGAGCGGCTTAAATGTATTACAAATGGGCCTTTATCGCTATTTACATACTTTTTTATCTTGGAAGTCAGGGTGGACGTATGTATTTTGGTAGGAGGCAGAAGGGTGATCTTCGTACCCTATGTTTTGCTTTGGGAAGTTGAGTAATGGTAAGGAATCCGTGAGTTTACGTTTAGCAGGGCCAAAATCACCAGATAAATCCGGTGGTTCAGCATCTCCTCCGTTAACCTCCATCGTCGTCACACTGATCTACATTAACTAAACAAAAAATACTACTCACCTACTAACACTAACAGAATTCGGTCGTTAAGGAGTATGTTAAGGCTGAATCTGAATGACAGGGTAAGAAATTGTGTAATAAGAGAAGAGTGTGGTTTGCAAGATGATGTTGTGACCAGGATTAAGAAAGGAATGCTTCGGTGGTTTGGTCATGTGGAAATAATGAATGAGGAGTGACAAAGAAAATTTATGGTGCAGAAGTGAATGGCAGAGTCGGAAAGGGACGTCCTAGGCGAAAATTTATCGACCAAATTGGCGATTTATTGAAAACGGGCCAAATTAGGAGTACCCTTAACCGACGAGCATGTATGCGTAGGTGTATGGATGTGAAGGAGGCGAGAGAGGTATGTCAGGATCGTGCCAAATGGAAGTCTGTAGTCTCTGCCTACCTCTCTGGGTGACAGGCGTGAGTGTTTATGTATGTACTAACAGAACACAGAGACAACACACGGAAAATTGAGAGGTTTTACACAAATTTGAATCGGAAAAGGGTTAAAAACTTATTCCAATACATGTAACTTATTCAAACACGTGTAACCACCAATCACTCCGACGGCAGAATCCTTTCTATATTGTAATTCATTACCTACATCATTTTATTATTTAGGAATGGCGATTACCATTTACTTAGAAAAAAAAAACACGATAGTTATTGTATATTTCTTTATTTACAAGTTGTATACCTTAAGTATCCCAGTTGTGATAAAAGTAATCAAACCAACAACAAACATTTTCAAACAAAAACAATATTGTGATCAAAGCTCTATATACAAATAATAACCAAGTGAAAAAGAAAATTCAAAGCATCTAAAGAAATAATTAAGTTTGAAGAAAGAAAATAAAGGTCAAAGATTTTTATATTATTTATTTAAGGCATAAGAAGAAATTCTTCTCTTATGCGCTGTAAAATTAAACAGTCATTTCTTTATATACAAAGTCACTAGTTTTGTACATCAAATGAAAGAATCTGATGCAGTTACTCAAAAAGCATATTAAGCTTGTTCAGACATTGCCGTTTAAGTTTTTGAATCGACGTACTATGCCAATAGCTTCTCTCTGTTGTAATTTTGTTTTTTGTGCTGGTTGTAATTAAAAGTTAAGACCTTAAGGATCATTTTGGTATATGATTTTGCAATAATAAGTAACAAATGTGGTTTGCATTCTCCATAACTATGTACAATAAAAATTAACCTTCACAGATTGAAACAAAATTAATGACATTTTATAGGTGGTACATAGACTGTACCTTACTAAAAAAGTAACAGAATTTGAAGGTATCATATTGCCAAGAATTGAATAAATGTTATTTACAATGGTTGTATGGTTCTATACAGTGATTTGATATTATACATCTTTTAATCAAGCTAACATACATGAAAACAAAACACGATAAACTAATGACAACCTTAAATTTAATATCACATTTCATTTTAATAATGGATACTCATGCTTTCCAACCTCATTCACATATACACAAACAACTTTCATACATATTCTGTATTATATAATAGGAAATATCATACTTGCATAGTAACTTACAACATTTTAAACACAATATACCTCACTTATGCATATGCATTATCAATATGGAAAATGTTTGTCTTATAATGACACTGTCAACATTTGCTTGTATGTATAGGTATTGTAAGGTCTTACATTTAAAAATCAAAGTACTGCCTTTATATTGATTAATAACACTAGAGAATGCAGTGTCTTGAAAAAGTGCGCATATAATAAAATTGTGCTCTCAATTCACTTAATGTGGTTTTGAATAAGCTTAGTTAATTGAAATCAGTAACTATATTATTTAGTTAATTATTTTGTATTATATTATAGTTGCATTTAATGTTTTTCGCGAGAAATTAGTAACCTAACATTATTAATAAATGTAAGAGGTTTACTTTTATAAATATTGGGATTCCTTTATATTACGGCCTTATCAAACACTATTTTGAATGATCTAATATATCATGTTAGTAAATAAGGCATATTGTTACTAATTTTAGGTTTCTTATTTTAAAAAATGGAGCTAAATTTTCTATGCCTGACTATTATGGTATTAGCTTTATGATCAATAAATAGTAGAAGGTAAATAAAGTTTTACATATGCAGACATAAATCAGGGGCAACATGTTATTAAGTAGAAATGAATTTAATAATTGTGTTTTGAATCTAGACTAATTTGGGGAGTTCAAGCTATCATACCTTTAAATAGGGTCTCAAAACTCAAGTCACGGTTTTTATTCTAGATTTTTTACAAAATATACATAAAAGATGTTTTTGTATACAATATACTATTTGGTCATTACTAGTATTGCCATAAAATTCCTATCAATAGTATGAATTTGGCAATTTGTAAAAATGATTTGAATTTGCTCAACTATCCTATTACAAATTATAGTTATTTAGTACAGAAAAGTAAAGACACCTTTTTTTATATTTTGCTATGATTTCTTAATTATATTGATGTTATGAGAATAATTTTATTACGTATGCCACTTCAAAATGGGATCAATTTCCAAAAACAGTACAAGATTTTAAAATAACTATATAAACATATAGGAGCGATTTTTGAGTACTTTTATTTATTTGAATAAATTATTATAAGCATACTTCCTTCTATAATTATTCAATATATATATAAATTATCTTAAACAGATATATTTTTTTAAATTTTTATTCTGGGATCGTAACTCAAAATTCATGTAAATTTGATCATTATAAATTTACTTAGAACAAATTAAATGCCTTTTTAAATCCTTAACAACATATCATTTTATAACTTTCAATCAGCAAAATATTAATACATTTTTGCACATTGAAGAATCAATCTATTGTCTGTAAGAACTTGATTCACACTTAAATAACTTAAATTTTTAAAATTAAAATAGAAACACAATCACTACTTAAATTGATCACCCACAAAAAAGCATTTACATTATTGAGCATAGTCCGGACAATTCACTTCCTTTTTGCACTGGAGGCTGTCTGCTAAACTGAACTCCCTCTAAGTGAGGTTTCAACTTGTACTCAAGTTCTGGTTCCTCGCCAGGAGGAAGTGGCTCGTCATCAGCACTGACATCCTCGAACATTGGTTCTTGGTTGCTGTTGACGGAGGGCATGGTCTTTGTGATGTTGATTTTGATGCCGCCTACTGGTAACACTGTAGAGGGCGGGGCGGCGTCGAGTTGAACGTTGCCGTCGATTGAGGAGGTAACTGTAGTGTGTGTGGTTTCTATTGTGGTGGGTAAGCGTTCCTCCTCTGCTGTTATAACTGGTTCATCATCTGTAACAAATAGTGAAGATATTGAAAAATTAATTACATCATTAAATTTCTTAGAAGATAGGATCATAATACAGTGTCCTTCAGGCCGAACTTAGGTCATGGCGAAACGTCTCAACTGAGACCAGCCATCTGCTCAAGACAGGATAGTAATGCCCGAGTGTATGTGCAAGCACAGGTGCACTGGCGAAGCCTCCATAGAAGCCAAAAAGCTGGGCTTGCCCTTTCAAACTGCTCAATCAATAATATCAACTAATAAAATAACTCGTAAACTGTTTCAAACTATTTCAAATTTCCCGCGCGCTCCTCTGTTTTACACAGGTCATGACCTCGTAGCATATATGTAACGTCAACACTTGGCAGTTTGCTTTCAATTCGAAATACACTGACTCGTGTTCTCCCTGTCTCAAAGCGAACACGCAATGGACTGTCAAAATTTATGAAAGCAATGTGTTGATTTGAGCGATTCGTCTCTCTGGCACACATGGGATTTTTACCGGGCTTTCAAGAAGACGATCGCTCCCTTTGTAACCTGTGGCAAAATGTTCTATAATGAAATATAACTACGAAATGTTTATATAACAATTACTATAGAACCAAAAGCCGTGCTTTGCTCTGAAGTTGTTTCCGAGTGCGCAGGCAATACGTGTGCAAGTTCACTTTACATTTCAATGTTTATGTTTGTTTTTGTCGTGTCTGTTGAAAATTTAAGCTTTTTCAAAGTGTTTTTGTGAAAATGGAGGATAATAATGTTCCTTGTGATGAATTTAAGTGTGTTAAAGTGCTAATCGGTGAGGAAAAGGTAAAATCTTTTAACTTTGTTGAGAAAATACAAAGGTCAAGAGTGTCTTTCAGACTTTTCAACTATCGCAATTCAAAAACAGTTATTGGTACAATTAAAACGTTCACCAAGTGGACATAATCAAAACTTCCCTTAAGAAAGATGAATTTAAGTGTGTTAAAGTGCTAATCGGTGAGGAAAAGGTAAAATCTTTTAACTTTGTTGAGAAAATACAAAGGTCAAGAGTGTCTTTCAGACTTTTCAACTATCGCAATTCAAAAACAGTTATTGGTACAATTAAAACGTTCACCAAGTGGACATAATCAAAACTTCCCTTAAGAAAGAGAGACCATTTAATGTAGAATATAAATTATTTGTTTTTTTTTTTAATTTCTCACAAAGTTTGTTCGTACTTTCTTCATGTATAGTATTGTATGTAAATATCTTTTTCTTTCGCTCAAGCAAACCCAAACGGTTTTTTTCAAAGCCACCGAAGGTATGCAATTGCTGATGTCATACAATCTATCTAGCAGTAGTATGCCTTCTGTGTACTTTATTAAACACGTCCTCGAAAGCACTGAATATGAAACTGAAGAGTAGAGACAGATCAAGATTAGTGTTCTTTTACAAAACTGCTAAAAACAACAAAACCATATCTTGGGCTTGCCCTAGTTTGGAACTCCTTCACATCTGAATAGGTAGACTCTTCATTCCCTTGCTTAGCCACTAAGCAATGTCTCTTTTATATAAAATCTTACTTATGGTCGCAAATTGTTATAATAATGAAAAAACACAACACAGTTCCAGAATGATTTCTATTGAGAATAGTTCCTATTAGAGTTATACAAGCGCACTGCCGGAAGAATTATTTATAGACTATACAAAAATACTCTCACACTTACGCAGTCAAATGCTTAGGCGCTGTGTTACTGAGTCATTGTTATCAAACTAATATTAAAGTACTAGTTTGATAACTTATGTTTATAGAATAAGGGTGAAAAACGAGCACACAATCCACCTGATGGTACGTAATGTCCACAGATATCTACATCTAAGGACTAAGATGGGATATCTCGTTTCCAGTAAAAAGGAAATTTAATGGGCTGGAGTGAAGATTAAAATAAAGTTTGTTTGTGGCTTGAGAGTGAGTGAGCTTGGTCTGGTTTAAACAAAGACTATATAAACACTTGACACTGCGAATACAATGCCCCGACGCTCGAAAACTATTAGTATTTTGTCGCCTATGCATCGGCTATGGTACTATTAACCATTTTAGTGTTGTCCAAGTGTTAGTCCTGTGTGCACGCTACATTAATGCAAATTTTTATAACTTTTATGCAATTATAATTAGGGACGGGCCTAATATGGATTTCACCGAATACGAATATTCGGCCGAATGTTCGGTAAAACTTTTACCTAGGTAACCAACCAATTTATGTCGAAACTTGTTACCGTAAAGCGCGCGGGATTAGCGCCAGACCCTGCCTCTCACTCCCCTCCTGACAGTTATTGCATCATCTAGTACTGAGCAAATTGCCCATGAGCACATGCTTATGTTTTGACTATTCTTGTGATAAAAAAGTAAAAATGAGCGGCAAGAGATTTACTATTTGGACTTATTTTAGAGAAACTGACTGAATTAAAGTGAAATGTACTAATGTGATGTAATGTTTCTTTGTTTGATTCCAAAAACATTTTATCAAGTTTCTATTTGCTATAATCTGAAATTTAAATCTACAGTGTCTCAAAAACATAAATGTATAGATTTATGCATTTGAGGCACTATAGAGTAAGTAGATTTAACCCATAAAAAAAATATACTTTCAACAGTAAAAGACATCGCATTACTCAATTTGTACATTTCAATACATTGGACACTATGAAAACGAATGTTCGGTGATTTAGCCGAATATTCGGCCGAATACGAAAATTCGGTAAAGCTGCCGAATACCGAATATAAAACGAATATTCAGCCCATCTCTAATTATAATGCATCAAAATGCGCGGTGAAGTGGTGTGGGAAACATTGCAGGACAGATGTCCAAAAAGAATGGAGTAACTTTTCATTGCTAAGTAAAAAATACGAAAATTATTGTTGATTAATTCAGATTATGAGCCACCGCAAGGGACTATCTAAAACGGTGGCCGGGTAAATAACGACATGGTTGAGTCACGCGTTGATGTCTTTTGGAAAAGTCTCGTTCTATTATTAGACAATTCTAATGCTTCTATCCCTTTCTTTCTCTTTGTATGTTTATCGTAAACATTAGTACTTAAAATTAATAAAAAGATTATTCAATTCACATACTCATATAAAGAATCATCAAAAATATGATGAGTCTCAATGAGAGTGGTTCAAAAGTGCTGTTGTCTTCGAAATATAATACCAATTATTTTATGAGAACGGTTTTAAAATCTCTGATTGGGTATTATTGATTCCCGTATATTCATTTTCATCAATTTGAAATAGAATCAACAAATCATTTAATTGAATTAGCAAGATACATAATTTACAAATATGTAGACGCTTGTTTATATTTTTTACAAAGAACAATCAGGACCCTTAAACTTTAATTCGAAATAAATATAACAAATTAATTCATTTTAAAAATCAATAATAATATAATAAATAAATGTTTTCGTTGTAACTGATTGATTTTGATTAAATATTATTTCTATGATTTTAATTGAGTATTTTTCATAATAATAAAATCCATTTTATCGGTAACGACTATTTTCCTTTATTAAGAAGAGCAACCCAAAAGATAGCCATAACAACGCAACTTGACCATTTTCAGCCACGCGCTCTTCCTCGTCCCCCGGCCCGCAGTAGTGAGTCGTATGCTTAGAAGAAATCTGCCTATACACTCTCTAGTGGTTATATTCTCTATGGGTTTAAAGGATTAAACAGATGTACGGTTTGAACATCTGGAATGATTGTAAATACAAGATTGTTGGATAAAACGTATTTTCAAAAAATAAATATGAATAAAAAAGTAGAACTCAGTGAATTGTTATATAAAAAATAATTTAAAACATTATTTCTTTTGCCTAAGTGTTGCTAGATGCTTGGAAATAGCTAGTGTTATCGTTTTTCGTTAACGTTATGATTACAGCCTACCGAAGCCTACTGCTGAACACAGGCTTCCCCCAGAGATTGCCTCGTAGGGGGGGATTTTGCTATAGTTGAAACACTTGCAAGTTGAGTTTGCAACTGCAATATTCATTATTTTGTATCAGGAAGGTGGTGCTGCCCATCAGCTGTTTCAATTCCCCTCTGTCGACTCTCATCGATACGCACAGGACGATATGGGATAATGGATACTCTTACACCGCCACTACGCAGTAACCACACAATGTGGTGTACAATAAAAGTACATTTCATTTCTTTCATTCATATATTTCTTGTATTCATTCATTATAATATATGCATTTCATTCATTCATTTTGCAGTCACACACATCTGTATGGTGGAGCAGTACTGACCTGGGTCGGGAGGCTCCTGCTTGACCTTGACCAGCGCGAGCTGGTGCTGCAGATCTCGCTCACGGCGGCTGCTGACCGTCTCGTCGTCCGTGTCGTTGTCCTCCAGCACCACCTGCTCCACCGGCTCCGCTTTCAGCACCACGTCGTCCTCGTCCGACCAGCCATCCGAACCCTCCTCTATCTGTAACACCACCAAATGTTAAAATCTCGATGCCGTGGATTTTCAGGACTGGTAAAATTTTAACTAAGAATTTTATGTAAATAAATAGAAAGTTTCCACTGTATGCAGGTGTTTTTGTATTTGTTGCTGTTCTTGTACTGGACTGTATACCAGCTGTAGTCCAACTACACACAAATAAAACACAAATCCAAGACATCTACACTTAGCCTTGATTAAAAATCAAAATGCATGTAAGAATGCCACATTATTAAAGGGTCTTCAGTTCTCTACACTCACCTTACAAAACACAGCATTGAACTACTATATCTCTTCTGTACTCCATGAGAACATGCTCCTTCCCCAATTGTGCCAACCCTTTCGTGTTACAGCTATAATATAAGCTACGACATGGCTTTACGACATGTAGATGACATGTAATGAATGAACATGTATCTCATATTATTAATACAATTGCGAGATTCTCCATCTTTCACTTATCTGTCTATTTTAACACATAAATAATAAAATAAATGATGACAGGATACTACCTATTTATTTATCTAGATCTAGATATAGAACACCTTAATTAAAAGTATTACAAAGGGAAAACTGAATGTCCTATGAATTTCTCTCCTAATCAACCCAGGATTTGTGAAATAATGTGATAGATGCCCAAAAAAAAAAATGTTTCTACCTATGTCTGTTCTGTGACTCGAAAATCATCCAACCCCTTTTCATTAAATTTTTTTTTGTATGATTGAATGGGTGCTAGATAGTTTATTTTCCCATTTGGACCCGGTAGATGGCGCTGTTGTCGAGATAAAGAAATCACACGTGCGAAGCCGGGGCAACGCTAGCAATTGATAGTTGTTATCCCTTATTTCAGATTTCCTCTGTCACCTCTGACCATCTCAATGTAATAATATGAGGTAGTATATTATGTTTTTAACAAAATAAAATATTATAAATAAAAATAGAATGTTGATAACTTCACTTTCCACCACTAACTTATGAAAAAATATTATTGAGAAATAAATGTTTATTTATTTATTACTTATTTAAAATAAATTAAAAAAACCCACCTCTAAAGCTTCAACAACAGGCTCTTTGACTTCTAGCACCTCCACATCAGACTCATTGTCAGATGCTGCTCCTACTTCATCTGTATCCTTTATCTCTATGGGCTCTGATTTCTCTACTTCAGGCACATCTTCAGGTATCTCTTCTGGTTCTTCCTTAGCAAGGGATGCCTATTGGAAAAGCAAATGGGGTATGAAATAAGTCCAAATCACAAATTATAGTTTGTAATTATTTTTACAATTTTTGTATATTAAAATTTTTACATTTGGAGTGTTTGGAGTCAAACTTTAAACCCTACATACTTCAGGTTCCTGCAAAATACAAAGAGACATTCCTCACTCTTCTAGGGTAATGTCTCACCAATACAAGGATGCTCGAAAGAAGTAAGTTCCCTATGTAGTATTATGTTTATATTTACTATATATTTTAAGGTTATTGCTACTAGGCTGCACTTAAAGTATCGGGAATGGAATATTTCCACTGTTCCTATCATATTAAAATCTTTTTAATTGAAAACTCCTTGGTTTTAAAAATCGAATACCATTTATTTCTTTAAAAAAAGATTCTCGGTTACAAGGTTTTGTCAAACTTGTTTAGTCATTGAGAAAATGGAATTGACTTGAGAAAATTCAAGAGCGATGATTTATTATGACTTTCGTAGTGGTTTAACACAAAAACAGTGGGTTGACTGGATGATTTCTGCATTTGGTGATGAAGCCCCATCCAAAAGCACAATTTATCGCTGGTTTGCTGAATTTTAACGTGGACGTGTCAAGCTCAGTGATGATCCCCGTCAAAGTCGTCCATAAACTGCAGTCACCCAAGAAAACGTTGATGCTGTGCGTAAGCTGATTGAGGAAGATCGACAAGTGACATACCGCGAAATTCAGGCAACTTTAGACATTGGCATGAGTCAAATACAAATAATCTTGCATGAACAATTAGGTGTAAAAAGGTTGTTTTCCCGATGGATACCGCATTCGCTCTGTGAAGAGCAAAAAGCGGCTAGCGTTACTTGATGCGTCAGAACTCTCGAAAGATTCCACGCAGGATCCTCAAATGCTGTATACAACATCGTATCAGGTGACGAATCCTGGATATACGCGTACGGACCCGAAACAAAAAACCAGTCACGAGTTTGGGTGTACGAAAATAAGTTAAAGCCAACAAAAATGTTCGTTCACGGAATGTTTCAAAAAAAAAATGGTGGCCACGTTTGTCTCCAAAACCGGCCATGATACGACTATTCCTCTTGAGGGACAAAGAACGGTTAATGCAGAATGGTATGCTAGCATTTGTTTGCCACAGGTCGTTTCTGAACTCCGTAAAGAGAACTGCAACCGCCGCATCATCCTCTATCACGACAATGCGAGTTCTCACACCGCACACAGAACAAAAGAGTTTTTAGAGAAAGAAAACATAGAATTATTAGACCATCCGCCGTACAGCCCCGACCTAAGCCCTAATGATTTCTATACTTTCCCTAAAATAAAGAATAAATTGCGTGGACAGAGATTTTCATCACCTGAAGAAGCTGTAGACGCCTACAAAACGGCCATTTTGGAGACCCCAACTTCCGAATGGAATAGTTGCTTCAATGATTGGTTCCATCGTACGGAAAAATGTGTCAAATTTCGCGGAGAATACTTCATAAAGCAATAAATACATTTTTAAATAGTAATGTTGTTGTGTCACTTCCTTGATTCCCGAAATTTTCAGTGCTGCCCTCGTATGGGCTAATGGTCTTAAAATGCCTGAATTAAAGTTATTGTATTGTTTTATATTGTAAAATTACATGTATTATGTGCATTTTATATTATAAAACTTTTTTTTAAACATTAGATACATCTGCATAAAACTTTGAACATTTGAAATATTTTATACTTTTAGCATAGCTTATAGCAATTGCTATAGCAATACAACAGTTAAAAGAATATTACTCTATTATTACTTTGAAGTACAGATGAAAGGCTAGTTTAGCTGTCATTCTGATGGCGGTTAAATATTGAATAAAACTAAATTTACGGATTTTATCGCGTTATTTCATTACTTTTACTTATTTTTAATTCCCGACGTTTCGGGTGCTTTATAGCACCCATGGTCACGGGGGGACTGAGATGTTTGACGTCCCAATGTCATAGTTAGTCCGGCTACCTTCAGTTTTTGAATATTAATTTTTGGTCCGATTTACGCAAAACGAGCTTATAGTATCATGAAGTCTTGCAGCGGTATGCTTGGGTTTGGGTTTAATTTTGTTAATTATAGGATCCCAAGCTGGTGGCAGCACCCATCCATCTTCTCTATTGAAATTTGGATGTTTTTTAATTTCAATAGCCTCGCGTATCATCCTTGGTAGGAATCGGTGTTCTTTTGCGAGAATTTGTGGTTTATCAAATCTAATGCGGTTAAATATGTTATCTATATACTGAATGAGTAAAAACCTGTATTAATGACATGACATTATTGTTAGGTATTCTTTTATATTGAGTGTCCGGTAATGAATGAATATGTTGATGATAATTTAAAAACCCGAGACTTCAAGATAATATAAGCATGTTTTCGTAGAGTTGATTAAAGTTAAGCCTTGGTTAATTTTGACATTAGAATGTCAAACAATTTAGTTTTAACGTCGGGAATTTAAGTTCATATTAAAGATAATAAAATTAGTTTCATTTATTGTTCAGTATTTTTGTAAAGGTAAGAAACCATTATGAGGTTAATATCCATCATTTGATTTGTATGGGTCATGACTGGAAGATTATTAGATTATCATAAGCACCAACATCTATTGTTCCATATTGTTCCGTGGGCGTCGCAAGAGGACAGAGGGAAGATTAAACAGAAGGCGGATAGACGCATCTTGCTGAATACAACTGAAAATAAAAAATAAGAACTACGGTTGCCAACTTGCCTGCTAAGGGTGGCAATTAGTATGGCAATATTTTTCCTATGAAGCAATCTATGTGGGATTGTCTACACTGAACTGTAGACTTTTATCCAGCGGATACTGATGAAGAAGAGGAACCATAACAACTGAAATTTTAAAACTAACACAACCAATTACGATTTCTTTTATTTTATTGGCGGGAAAAATTGAGGTCCATATGACAGCAGAGAGTTCGATATAATTACGGCTGTTTGTGTACACTTAGACGCATTTTGTAATGCCTGAACGCAGCCTAGTCGCTTATATGCTGTAATGGATGGAATCCTTGCTATGGCGGGAGAGGATTAAAATTATAAAATTAGTTTCATTTATTGTACAGTATTTTTGTAAAGATAAAAAACCATTATGAGGTTAATATCTATCATTTGATTTGTATGGGCCAACGGAGAAGATGATTAAATGATCGTAAGAGCACCTTGTAGTCTGCGAGGCACAGCGGGTGGTAGTGGCGGTCGAGGTGCGTGACGGCGTTGCGCAGGTGCCACTCCTCGCGGTCCTCGTTGTAGAACTGCAGGAAGGGGTCGCCGCACAGCGCGCAGTGCGCGGCGGCCGGCGGCCCGGCGGCCGCGCTCGGCGCCTCGCGCCGCGCCCGCCGCCCCCTCGCCCCCACCCGCACCCCCACCCGCTACCTCCCCGCTAGCCGCGTTCGCTTCGAACCAGTTCTTCTCTGCAAGCCAACATTACAGAATAAAGTTAGTTAAGGTTACAGCCTATATACATCCCACTAATGTGCACAGGCCTCCTCACACTTCTGAGAGGGTTTTAGAGCAAGTAAGCGTCCATCGCACTCGCCACTGCGTGTTGACGGACTTTACAAGTCTTCGAATTTTTTATTTCTCTAACACGGTTTCCTTACGCTGTTTTTCTTCACTACTGAGCACATGGTAAATTAGAACTTCAAATTGCAATTAACAATTTTATCGGTTCCGATGGGTATTGAACCCGGGTCTCTAGCTTACTGTGAAATTTACAGCGAGTGTTAAGTACCTGAGCTACTCATGGCTCATATTATAGAATATCAACAAAATCATGCTGCTGTGTTTAGTGTGTGGACGATGACCAGAGACCATTTTTACTGTACACAAAGCATTCCATCGTAGTCCTCAGGAGTGACAACGCATGTTCATTTTGATTCCTAATTAAAAATAGATGTAGATTTCTTTGCACCACATCATGCACTTACCAACAAATAGACTGTGTGTTTGTTTATCAGCCTTATTCCAGTAAAGCCATCCAACTAGCTAAGTTACTGTATGGTGGGTTGTGGTATCAGTATCAACATTTGTGTATGTCGGTTGGCTAGTGTTAACTACGTAAGGATATAATTGGAGAGGGTTAGTTCGCCCGAAATGCACTTGTGTGTGCGTCACACACTTGTGCATATTTGGTTACACACAAAAACTTCTGTGTATAGTAGTAGTCATAAACAAACAGTTTCCCGTAACTGAAACACCTTTAGTCTATTGTATATGAGCGAGAAGAATAAATGTTTGTTTTGTAGTTTGTAGTGGTTGTGTACCACTTATCTCTCAAGCCTCATCATTCGTACTTTTAGAAACCGATTCAAAAGAGATAGGTGCTTTACTGACGAATCTTAAATCTGAGAGTACCGCAGGGTGGGATGACATACCAACAAGATTCTTAAAACTCGCTAAGGAACATGTAGCTCCTGTGATAGCTCATTTGGCAAATATTTGCTTTAATCAGGGCATTTTCCCAACTGCCCTAAAGCGAGCAATTATTACACCAGTATATAAGTCTGGTGACATGGAAGATACATCAAACTATAGACCTATTTCTGTTTTGCCAGTCATCTCAAAAATCCTAGAAAAACTCTTAAATAATCGGCTAATATCTTACTTGAATACATACAAGCTGCTTTCTGACCATCAATTCGGATTTAGAAAAGGGATTTCTACCGAAGATGCCGTAATAAAATTGACTTCTCTTATCGTGGACAATGTGGATAAAGGTAACAAATGCTTAACTGTATTTTTAGACTTGAAAAAAGCCTTCGATACCGTGTCGGTACCTACTTTAGTACGAAGGCTCGAAAACATAGGTATAAGAGGAATCCCTTTAAAACTCTTTGTTGATTATCTCACTGGACGTGAACAATGCGTGAAAATTGGAGCACTGTGACGTAACTTTTGGCGTTCCCCAGGGTAGCGTGCTTGGTCCAACCCTATTCTTAATATATATTAACAATCTATGTTGTATGAAAATCAGAAGTGGACAGATATTTTCTTACGCGGATGACACAGCTGTTGTCTTTACGGGGCGGACTTGGGATGATGTACGTTCAGTAACAGAGAGAGGTCTTGCCGAGATAAGCAGTTGGTTAAATAATAATCTCTTAACTCTCAATACCACCAAAACTAATTACATAACTTTCTCAAATTATAATAATTCACAACCGGAAACAAATTTTGAAATCAAAATACACACATGTTCTGAATTTTCCAACCCTGATTGTACTTGTAACAAAATATCAAAAGTAGACAAAACAAAATATTTAGGAGTAATAATTGACCAGCGTCTATCCTGGCATGCACATCTTGAACTGATGATGACTAGGATGCGGAAACTTATATGGATTTTTAAAACTCTTAGACATATAACAGATAAGACCTTACTGGGTCAAATATATGTTTCATTAGCTCAATCCATTTTGACATACTGTATCCCAGTTTGGGGTGGGGCCACTAAAATGAAGTTCTTAGAACTAGAAAGAGTACAGAGATTATTATTTAAAGTGATGCACTTTAAGCCCTACAGATTCTCTACTAAAGAGCTATACACCCTATGTGACCACCTTTCGGTCAGGAAGCTGTATATCCTTAACTCTGTATTAAGATTGCACAGGACGCTGATATATAACCCCAAAATTTGCGATAGAAGAAGAGGACATGCTGTGGCACCAGTAGTACTCATGAAAACGAAATTCGCTAGGAGGCAATTTAGAAGTCAGTCTGCTCATCTCTATAACTATACTAATAAAAAACTTAACATATATGCAACGACCAAGCATAATGTGAAAAAACAACTTACAGCGTGGTTAAAGACGATAGAGTATGAAGAAACTGAAAATTTATTGAAATAAATAGAAAAATTACACCATAGCATAAATACTTTCCACAACACACGCACGCACGCACGCACGCACCACGCACGCACGCACGCACGCGCACACACACACACACACACACACACACACACACACACACACACACACACACACACACACACACACACACACGAGAGCGCGCGCATGCGCGCGACCGCACGCACTTGGTTTAATCTTTACATATGCGCAATTTTATATGTATCTAAAATTGTTATGGAAGAGCGGGGTCCCCTAACACAGGTATTGATATACTTAAAAGGAGACCCCAGCCTAGTTAATGTATTTAAATTTAAGATACTGAATAAAGAATTTTGAATTTTGAATTTTTGAGTGGTGTCGGGCGGTACCTCGCTCGTCCAGCTCGTCCAGCTCCTCGTAGCGCAGCCAGTCGGGCAGGTCGTAGTGCCAGGGGCGCGAGTGGGCCCTCCTGGCGGAGTCCCGCTCGCGGCGGTTCTGGCGGAAGTGCCAGTCCAGGTGCTGCGAGTAGCGCACCGTGTGCTCGGGCGGGAAGCGCGCGCCGCAGCCGCTGCACTGCATGCCGCCGTACAGCCTCCGCACCAGCGCCGGCTGCTTGCTGCACACCACAATATATCATAATATTGGCCTCTAATAATCTTAATCTCACCACATATCGCTACTTGAAACTGAAGTGAACTTATTTGTTTTTATAATTTGGTACTACTTATAATTCACATTCACACCTCAGTGCAAAAATGTTTATGAAGCACCAACGCGAGCACCAATGCGTGCCGTGCGTCCGTGCAGTGTTTCCACTTTTAGATATTTTGCACTATTTTAGGGTAAATCTACTAATATAGGTGGAGCTTTAGACGTATTTTAAATTTGACAGGGTTTTGGATAAATTAGGGTAAAACCAAACTTCACGTAACCCTGGTTTTTACACCCACCCAATGTTTTTTTTAAAGATTTATCGAAGGGGTTAAGTTCAAAAGAGCTAGAAAAGTGTAGAATGAAAAAGGTTTTCATTTTGTATATCAGAATAATGGTATAATATTTTACTCAGTTACATATTCGTTATACATATGAGACTAAGTGTTATTAAATGAGAACGTCTTCTTTATCACAAAACTAAAGACTTTTAATTGCGAAACAATTTTTGACGTGACGTGAACGATTCAATTCTTGCAATAATGTTGGTCTTTAAAATATTGAAAAGTAGGTGCAATAAATAAGGCTATTTTGATTTTCTACGATAATTTAGGGAGTATTTCTACAGGTTCCAAGGTAAAACTAAAATCATAAGAGGAAACACTGGTTCCATGGTAGTTCATGAGTATTCAAGAGATGGCGTTTATTCTACGCTTAACTTAACTGTCAACAGTTTTTGTTCGCACGGCCATATCTTGTCATTTATATCAATGTTGTATAAACACTTGAACTTATTGGTTACACAAATGGTCATACTCATAGTGTGATAATTATTGAAGTTGTGATTTATATATATAGTTCTGACACAAAACAATGCCTCAGTGATGTATTTTTTAATTTTTACACATTTATTATTTTATGAATATCTGTAATTGGATGTATCCATTTGTAATCTAAATAATATAAAATATAACTGATTCTTGAGAAAGAAACATTAATCTCCACACTCATCTAATAAATTAACTTCCTGTGAAATGTATGAAATCTGTCAAATATTTCACCTCATTTTTAAGAGGCGCCGCCCAGGTGGCAAAAAGTCGTGGATGTCCTCATAGCGACTACTGTCTTTAACCACGCCTAGCACAAGCGTAAGTTAACGTGTTTATTTTTTTAATTATACGAACAGGAACAGGTCGAATAAGATCAGTATCACTGCGACCAGTAAGTTGTGATCGCTGCTATGTAAATTGTATAAATATGTAAAAGTGGTAAATAAAAAATGACGTTCGATAAGTATTATACAATAATCAATATTGAATAAAAATCATTCATTTCATTTATCTCTATAGTTCACTTCCAAGGCCTATATCTTCAATGAATTGAAGGAATTGCGTAACGGATTATTAGAAGCACTACTGGTATGTTTTTTAAACACGCGAACACACCCTTATTAATTACGTATTATAATACTTGCAATTCACGAAATCGAGCGGGCTCTACTCATGATTGAACATCTATGCACATTGGAATACTTACTCTGCGTGTCTAACGGAGTGTCGTTGCTAACCACACCCTGCTGTTGGTCTCACGCGCACTTCCACACGTATACAGTTACGTGTTTACCACAAGTAAAGCCCGCCCAACTTCGTGAATTACAACAAATAAAAGCTTACGTGCCACTAGGAAGAAAAAGAAGTCTGAAATAATATTCGATCAGGCTGTGATCATCAAGTTGTAGAGCCAATTATAATGTGAATGTGTGTGTGAATTATATGATTAGATTCAAAATTGTTATTGATAAAGAATGATTAATAAAAATAAGCACTTACATTTTCAGCGTCTCAGGTTTAAGTAGATCCACTTTATGTATAATATTTTTATCTTCTGCTTCCTTCGGCTTAGTTTCCTCAGTCTTTGTTTTCTCTTTATTCTCCTCTGGCATTTGAACAATACCAGTGGCTACTAACTTAGCAAACAAATCATTTATGTTAATATTGCCCAGAATTGGTAGGGGGTTGGCGGGTTTCTCTTCCGAGGGTGTTTCCAGACCAGGAATTTTATCGGACTTAGGGTACAGCGGTTCTGCAACGCTATACTCTGATCCTGATGCTGGAGCTATGCTGGATGGCATTAAACTCGCCAGCATGTCGAGACCTGGAATTGTATCAATAAAAATTATAAAGATTTTTGAAGTGAAAATGGAAAAAATAGTCTTATAAGAATTATCCATATTACAATGAATTTGTTTTATAAAGATTATTACCTTGGTTTTCACCAACAGGACTCGGTGATTTATCAGGTCTTGGCACCGGCTCTTCTTCAATACCAACAGGTTCTTTATCAAGTACAGGGACATTATCAACTACAGGAGCTGGTTTCACTGGAGTTTCTATTCCAATACCTTCCATATCCGCTATCTGCACTTGACCGGGCTTTATATTTCGCGGTAAAGCAGAGAAACGTATAAAATATTTCTCCTTCCCTATAAATAAAGGTCTGGGCAAATCCCCAAACTCAACCTTAAATGGTTTTTCATTGATCAAGACAGTCCTTAAGGCATCAACGAAACGCAATGTGAAGAACTGACCATTTATAAGTATTTTTTGTACTTTTGCATCCAAATACACCGGACACATCTGTGTTGCGTTAATAATAAGATTTATTTTACCGGCAACGAGGTCTGTGCGTTTTGTTTTTCCAATATCAACTTGTGGTAACGGACCTTCCAGGTGCACTAATCTAGGCTTTCCGTCGATGATCACGCCCAATGGCTGGCCGCCGAAAAAACACTCGTACCATCTTCCGTTAATATAGAGCTCTCGTGTTGGTGCACCAAATCTAATATTAAAGACCTGATCATCCATCTCTACTTGCTTATATCCTTCGTTAAAGTTAAGCATCACAGAATCCTTGTTATCAAATGTCACCCTTCTGCAACCTGGTAAAAATTTGATCTCACGAGGATCATCCCAGTCCAACATAATGACTGCCGTTTCTCCATAGAATCTGATCTCTCTGGGTACACCATCAATCTGTATGGTCTTAACAGGATCTTGATCTATGTATTCTAAAATTTGGAAATTTGTTGGTGGGATCGTGTGACCAGGAGTACCGATAGGTGGTGGCGATGCAACTCTCTCGTATGGTATAAGTGGACTTTCACCTTGGCACATACCCAATTTCGGTGCAGGTAGGGGCGGTAACGGTAACCGAACATCGAAGGGAGGTCTCGGCATTCTGTTGTCGAATTTACCTCTAAAAAATGGCGGCATTGGCCCTCTAAACCTTCGAGGCCCAAAGTCTTCCATCCTTGGTCCTCTCCACATTGGGTATGGACCCATAAACATGGGCATCATTGGAGGGAGAGGTAGCAAGCCTTTCGGTCTCCCACCATCCACGCCGTCGATTGGTGGTCCGGTGTTCATTCTCATATCGGAATCTTGCATAAAGTTTTGACTGTCTGATGGAGTATCAACGAACACAGCGGGAGTAATTCTTTCATCTATATCGCCAAAGTTATTTCTTTCAGATGGAGACATTTTAGGACTAGCAACCTTATGGTTTTCCTCGTCTATGTGAGCCTTCAACTTCCGCTTAGATAACTCGAGCGACTCTCTCTGCTTTGCTTCTTTCAATTTTAGCTTCTCATTTAATTGCAGAACCTGATACATAAGAGTGTTGTACTGGTTCTTATCAAGTTTGCCATCGCTAAACTGTTCTTTCGCTTGAGACATAATAATGGATATAGTTTTCTTGTGGTCCTCGGCCGTGACGTCGTCGCTGTCCGATCGCGGATCTGCATCGTCTGAACTCATTGTGCGCCGTCTCTCTCTTTCAATGCCTGTGTGTGAATAAATATACTTTTGATAGAAACAGGCGTGACTTTGCGGAAATCCATTATAATAAAAAAAATTAAATTACTTCGCACCCTTCCGCTAGCTAAATACAATGATGTGTCTTAGCGGTCAGCCGACATAGAGTCTACATCACCTGAGGATGCCTCGTGTAGAGGCGAAACACGTGTCGTATTATCGTCGATGGTGTGTCTTAGCTGGAATAGTGCTGTTGGAAGTAGTGGTGCCGGGAGTAGTGGTACTGGGACTAGTGGTGACGGAGTTAGTGCATGTAATTGAGGGAGGGCGGGAGGTGCTCTTCAATCCAGGTAAGACACATCATTGTATTTAGCTAGCGGAAGGTTGCGAAGTAATTTAATTTTTTTTTATTAAATATACTTTGTAAACTTTTATACATGTAATTAATTCTACTATGTGTAAAAAATAATAAATATGTATTTTACTAGCTTCATAAAACGCTAAATATTTTTATTGATATTTGTTTTAAAGTTTATCGCAAAGTATTCTAACGTAAACTAAAAAATACGCACTTGGTGATTTGCTGAATAAAAGTGGACGCCCTAGTCGATCTTTTCCCTTAGTAGCTTCAGCCAACTTCGCCCTTACTAAATCTAACTTTGATGGAGTTTTCTTCGTATCATCTTTTTTCTCCTTGACTTCGTTCCAGTCTTTTTGCTTAGGTGAAAATTTAGGCGATGGCACGCGCTCTTGATCATCAAGCGAGACGTCAGCTTTCGGGCTTTCGGTTATAACTGGTGGTGGTGGAGGAATTACTTCTTCTACTTGTGGTAACTGTCGAAGATCTACATCTTCATTGCCAAATAAGCTGCAAATAATATTTTTTTATAGAATTAAAACGTAAATTATACCGGGCATCAGTCAATTTTTTAGTTAAAAATAAAATTTAACTGCGATGCAATTCCCTCCGAAATGTTTAATGCCTATTTATACATTTCTTTAACTGTATATAGGTCACATCCTATATACACGGTTAGCGAAAAGTAAGACCCAGAATTTTTTAAATAAACATTTTTGAACATTGACGTTATTTAATTTCATATAAACAAAACATTATCGTATGTTACTGCAATTTTCATTTACAACATCTTTAAATAATTTGAATAATTTAGTTTTACGAAGCGAAGATTATCACCATTAACAATGTTTTTGTACAACAAGTAAACAAGTACAAGAAAATATGCAGACCTTATCCATCAAAAGGTTAAAATTTTTATTAAGCAAAAATTGTTTAGTAAGGGTTATACTCGTAATACTACTAAGTAGTACATGCTTGATAATAACCCCTGAGAATGAGCATGCTGTTTCTAAATGTTTTCATTGCAATTGTATAGCTTTAAAAAAAGTCCCGCTGGATTTCTTGCTGATTTTTCCCAGGACAGAGGATTTTTCATAAACAAGTGGTAAAAAAATGACTTTCAATACGAATTAAATGTAATCAATATTGAATAAAAATTATTCTAGTCTATTCTACGTGGATGCTGTGGTCCATGGACACATATCTATTTTCTAAGGATCAAAAAGCAGGTGCGTTTTTACTCCTAGTGACTTAGATATACTAATGCCTTTTTATCAGTAAAAAGCATCTCCGATTATAATCCTGATGGTCCTATGGTGACGATACTTATTGTTACTCACCATAGGTAACCCACAATTTACGCTTATATTTTATATGTCTGATCTTTTCCCGCTGAAATCGATTAATTCGTGCTCCAGTAATACCGATGCAGTGTGGTACTACCAAATAAATAATTGCGTTTAGTTACTTATATTTTACGGTCCTAGGAAACTACAAACGCTTTTACCACTTTTTCCAAGGCCTTACAGCACCTAACATTAATGATAGCCTAACATTCGTTATAATGTATATTTTCGGTATCTTAACTTTCAAAAAGTTATCCAGTTCAAAATTGAATATTGGTGTTTCACAAGGGTCGATACTTGGTTCTATTTTATTTTTAGTGAGTTAAAGTGTCTATACGGCTCACAGCTGGACACAGGTCTCCCTATTATTTCTGAGAGAGTTTTAGAGTAAGGGTATGTCTGTCGCGCTACCTTAATATGCTTATTGGAGGTCTTAGAAATAGTTGATATGTTTTACTACCCTCATTATCTTTTGCTTCACAGCCAAGTATAGTAAATCAGCATTCAAATTGCAACTAAAAAATCCATTAGTATGCATTATATCGTAGCGGGGATCGAATTAGAGCTGCTCGCGTGCTGTAAAATTTACGGCTAGCGTTGTGTTTCGCTGAGCTACCACGGTTCTTATCTTATCTTTGGTTTATATAAATCATCTGGCCCATGTAGTGTAAGTGGCAGACAGTTATTTTCGCAAAAGACACATTACACTTAATTAAAGTCACGAAGCGATTTTTGAAAAGGTTTTTAACTGCAATTTGAAGCCCATATTAAGGTTGGTAGCACGAATGGGGTAGGACCACGCTCTCACAGAATACCAACGTAAATATCAACTTAATGCTGCTGTGTTTCGTATGATGAGTGTAGAGAACCGAATACCCTTTTTACTGAAACCAAGCATTCCATCTTAGTCCTCAGGGGTGACAACATATCTGCATTTTTTATTGAATAAGGGTGACAAACGAGCACAATGCCCACTTGATGGTAAGTGAATGTTGTCGTCCACCATCTACATTTAACCTCGATTAAGAATCAAAATGCAGATGCATTGTCATCTCTGAGGAATAAGATGGAATGGCTCGATTCCAGCGAAACGGCTCTCCGGTTCTCTACACTCAGTATACAAAACAGCAGCTTTAAGCTACTATTTTAAGCTGGTATTCTGTGAGAGCGTGGTCCTTTTTCCGGTTTAGCCGACCCATACGGGCTACAGCCATAATATAGCTGCAGCGTCGCTCTACCACGTATAACTCTTCTCTATCTGCATTTTGATTCTTAACCTAGGATAGGTGTGGATGTCTATGGACCACAGAAACCACTTACCACTATCAGGTAGACTGTGTCCGTTTGTTACAATTATTCTATAAAAAATATATCAAAAAATGCGTTAAATTTACGGTCACTAATACACCTCAGAAAACGCTCTTACGTCTTGAGAGAGAAGTAATGAATATTTTGAGTTCAATTATGTTTCTTGGAAGCGAGATTAACTAAGGGTTGTTTAAAATCACATCATTCTGTAGTATTATATGAATTTTAGAATTTATGCTCTTTTTTAATATCATGACCCGCACAAATTAACTTAGATATCCTTAAGTTTAGGAAATATAAAGAATTGTTTCATGATCTGATGTATCTACAAATCTATAAAAATAAAATTGAAGTGTCTTGTTTGTAATGTCAAAATGACAGCTTTTTACCAAATGCATAAAGTATATACGGTACTTACAACAACAAAAAAAATTTTTTTGTCTCTCTGTTTGTTTGTTGCGGCTAATCTCTGAATCGGCTGGACCGATATTGACGGCACTTTGACTTGCAGATAGCTGATGTTATAAGAAGTAACTTAGGATATTTTAATTTTAGAAAAAAGAATGAGGGGCGAAGTAGTGGGGAACAGTTAGTGTACAACAAAATTCCATAGAAAACCAAGCTAAGCTTACTGAAAGTAAACAACAAACCTGTTAAGCACTCTAGAAAAGTAAACTACAGGCCTATCCATTGTGATACTGAACAATAGTTGAACGACAATGACTTTTGGAAATAAGTTTTAACTGTAAAATCAACTGGCCTATTGAAAATTATCAATGTTTGTTTATTGTATTATATTAAAATAAAATGTAATATTAACTTCATTTTAAAAAGGAAAAAAAATGTTCTGTCCCAAAGTCGTATCGGTCCGGAAAAATCGCCGGTGGTAAACTATTCCACAGGTCAGGTACAGGTAGGTCATACGCGGAAGAAAACTCCTAGTGAAACGTACAGTGGCGGACCGCCAAGCATCCAGATGGTGTGGATGGTATCGGAACTTTTGCCGCGTAGTGCGTTCATGATAAAATTTGGCGGTTGGGATTAATCCGAACAATTGCTCAGAGCACTTCCACACTCTAGATGCGAAAGAAAATGCAAAGAGATGCAACAACACCTGTCAATCGAGCCGATCGGAAAGTACTCGGTCGTCGACGATTCGGGTCGCTCTGCGCTGGATGCGGTCCAGTGGAAGGAGCTGGCACTGGGAAGCCCCAGCCCAGAGATGGGAACAGTATTCCATGTGAGGACGAACCTGCGCCTTGTAAAGTTGCAGGCGGGTGTCGGCATGAAATACTGTCCCGCTCTGCTGAGCACGCCAAGGTTTTTAGAGGCGTATTTGATATGTTTCTGTTCTGTTCTGTTTCTGCAACAGAGGGAGTGCCTTGAAACTAAGGAGATACGACAAAGGCGTCCTTTTTAGCGGTAAACGCGCAAACTTGTGTCTTCTGATGGTTAAACTTGACTAGATTTAGTCGCCCACAATCCGAGACTTTGTTAAGCAAAAACTCGACTTCAGACACAAGTTTATCCCGGTACTAGGAGACGTTTTCCTGAGAAATATTGGCACGGCCGGTGTACAGAGCATCACCAATGCTGTCATCCGCATAGGAATGAATGTTACTGGTTTGCAACATATTAATTTGCAGAAGAATCAGCGTTGGTGATAGCACGCAGCCTTGTGGAACGCCAGCATTAATAGACTTGTAATCGAATCTGCAAGGAAGCTGGTGATTCAATTTCACAATTTCCCGGGAAGCCCATAGGAAGGGAGCTTCGAAAGAAGCGCTTTGCGCCAAACCCGATTGAAGGCCTTCACAATGTCCAAGCTAACGGCCAATGCCTCCCCCTCATGGACTCTACTGCCTCCGCAAGTCGATGAGTCAGGTAGACCAGAAGAATACCAGCTGATCGACTCCGACGAAAACCGTATTGGCGGTCACTAATCAGCTGATGATCATCAAGGTACCGCAGGAGCTGGCAGTTAATAATGGATTCCATTATTTTGGAGAACAAGCCAACGCCTAGGTAGGAAGAGTACCGAAAAAGACCGCGTTAGAACTGGTGCCAACTCTGGAGACCACGTTCTCAACACAATTGGGGGGATTCCGTCAGGCCCACTCGACTTGTGGATGTCCAGGGAGAGGAGTGCTTTGCGAACCGAGCGCTGTGTGAGCCGCACACCGGCGGGATGGTCGACGATGTGCGTCCCCCGTCATCGAGTCGAGTTGGACGCAAAAAAAGAGCCTAACAGATCGGCTTTCTCATTTGTGGCATGGGCCAGTGCGTCATCCTACCCGTGCAGAGATGGAAGAGATGGCTGACAGAAATTCGTTGGACAGCCTTGGCGAGAGACCAGAATGCACGGGTTCCAGAAGGAAGGCGAACTAGTTTCTCGCTAATTCTGCCTATGTGCTCTGATTTTGTGTGTGAATATAGTAGTTTTAGGTTACAGCGACTTTAACATACTCTAACACTGATGTTATCCATGATGCGCTATTTTAGCAAACGTATCAGCGAAAATATTTTTTTTAAAGGATAGGGTGACAAACGAGCACACAGTGCACCTGATGGTAAGTGGTTGCTGCAGCCCGTAGACATCTACATCTATCCTCAATTACAAATCAAAATGCAGATGTGTTGTCACCCGTGAGGACTAAGATGGAATGCCTCGTTTCCAGTAAAAAGGGTCTCCGGTTCTCTACACTCGCCATACGAAATACAGGCATTATATAATAATTTAATTTTAAAATACTAATATTTTACGCTAGTATTCCGTGAGAGCGTGGTCCTTCCCCGGTCGAGCCGACCCATTCGTGCTACAACTATATTTACTAATATAACTGCAGCATGGCTCTACCACGTATAAACGGCCGAGTAACATAGCAGTCAGGAAACTTGCTTACTATTGGATTTTAGCTCAAAGCAATGTTAATATGGTACAACCTAATCAGAGGCGGAATAAATGTCCTAGGCTAGCACCTCATGGGCGCCCCCTGGTGGCCATGAATAATAAATTATGTATAATTTATAATATCAGCTATTTTAAACTTGCAAAATAATTTTGATATGTATACTTTTAACATGATGATCAAGTCATATTTGAGTCATCGGCGGCTGAGTTGCAAATGATGGTTACATTAATGAACTGGGTATTAAAAGAAAGGGGAATGAAAGTGAACGCAAGTAAGACGAAAGTGATGGTTTTTGAAAGCAAAACGGTATGTGAAATAAGAATAGAAGGAGAGTTGATTGAGCAAGTGGATGAGTTTGTGTATTTGGGATGTGTATATAGGAGGGATGGTAGATATGATAAGGATATAGAACGACGAGTAAATGCAGGGAACAGAGTGAATGGGGCACTATACTCTATTATGAAGAATCAGAATGTGTCAAAAAAGGCACGTATGGTAATTCATAATGCTGTGTTAGTCCCTACTTTAATGTATGGTAGTGAAAGCTGGGTGTGGCAGAAGATGCACGAAAGTAAAATAAATGCTGTAGAAATGCGGTCTTTAAGGAGTATGCTGGGGTTGAATCTGAATGACAGGGTGGGAAATTGCGTGATAAGAGATAAATGTGGTATGCAAGATGATGTTGTGACCAGGATTAAGAAAGGAATGCTTCGGTGGTTTGGTCATGTAGAAATAATGAATGAGGAAAGAGTGACAAAGCAAATTTATACGGCAGATGTGAATGGCAGAGTCGGGAAGGGACGCCCTAGAAAAGTTTATCGACCAAATTGGCGATATTTTGAAAATGGGCCACGTTAGAAGTACCCTTAACCGACGAGCATGTATGCGTAGATATATGTATGTAAAGGAGGCGAAAGAGGTATGTCGGGATCGTGCCAAATGGAAGTCCGTAGTCTCTGCCTACCCCTCTGGGTGACAGGCGTGAGTGTTTATGTTTTTAACAGGTGGGCGTGAATGAAAACTGTAATGAGAGAGTGAGGGTGATGAAGGGGTAATCAAGTAGACAACTTTTTATTCCTTTAAATATTTCCGAGCGCCCCTTTTAGCGCCCTTTCTGTGCGCTCCGACGCACGTGCCTAGTTTTCCCGATGGATAATCCATCACTGAACCTTATTAATTCTTTTTAAACCTATATTCAAATAGTGTCAAAAGCTTCCTTCAATCTTAGCAGCATATTTCTTTCTTTTTATTAGCGTTTTTCAATTCCCTGCTAATTATAGAAATTTAAACCTTTGCCTAGACCCACCATGGTTGACAGTCCGAGTTGACGACCTTTTTTTATAGGTAGGTGATAAACAAGGACAATCCAACAGTAGGTTAATGGATTTTGTGGCCCATAAACACCTACATCGATCCTCAATCACCCCTCAAAATACCTGATATTGATATCTTTAGACTGGCGTAGTTCCCCATCAACAATCAGTAAGGATTTAGATTCGATATTTCTGAATAGATATAATCATTTGTCAAAAGATCGTTAGTTAACAAAGTGTACTGCGGGTATTTAGATGAGCATTTGGAGAAGAAATTGATGCATCTTACACGTCAAAGGCTTGCTTGTATGGCAGCAATTACGTTAGTATTTATCTTCTTTAAATAAATAGGAGATAAATACTTAACTAACTTATATTTCTTTTGTAGAGGTGACCATTCATAGCTGTATCGATGGGATAGGTGGAGCCGTAGTCAAGTTTTTAACGAATTCCATATTTATGGAACAAAATTACTTACATACACATTATATGTCGGTATATTGCCAAAACTAAATTACAAAATCTGTGATCGATAGAGCTATTGATACATTTTATTGACACTGCATAAATTCTGGAGTAGCTTCAAAGTGAAACCCCAACTTCAAAGTGTTACCCCCAACCTAGGATTTTCTCCTGTATCGTGAAGGCAGTTCGCAAACATAAATTGCAAAAGGACAGACAATAACAATTACTTTTAGACCATACAAATACCAGTTTCGTAAGGGATTCGAACTCAGGGCCGCAGCTCAAGTTAAGCCACTGCGCCACGGAACCGTCAGCTCATCGAGCCCCTTACCAAAAAGTTTGGCGAGTCAGCTAGTAATAATAGTAATAAGTAATATAGATGTAAGATAAAAATTGTCTAAAAAATTGAGAGTCCCGCTGGGTTTTTACTGCTTTTTCCCAGGACAGCTTTTTTCACAATTACTGATAGTATCATAAGTGACATATTTCCGAGAACAGAGGAAATTTTGAACAACAGACAATGAAAAGTGGTATTCTATAAGAAATAAATTATCTATAAATATAAAAAATAATTGCACTGTACGTTAATCTCGCAAAACCTCGAAAATGGTTCAACCGATGTTGATTAAATTTTTAAGTGTTTGAGTGGACCCCTTGATGGTTTAAATTTACAATTGGACCCCGTAGATGGCATTATTGTCGACATCCAGAAATCACCCATGAGCTAGTATAAAATAAACCTTAATATTTTTGTAACTTATCTTCCCTTTTCACAAGGAAAAGAATTTTGTCGGCCATACAAAAACAAAAATGAATTATAATACTTACATATCAAACTTATCAAGTTTATTCTTCTTGACTTTTCCTTCAAGAGTCTCCGTGGAAGACCTTTTCTGTGCCACTGGCGCCGGCGTAACATCAGTGATAACAGGATGCAACACTCTGAGATCTATGTCCTTGTTTTCCACTACAACGTCGAGCACATCTGAAAAATTTACTCAATTTTTATGCAATCTAATGTCTAGTTAGAATTTGCCTTAAGCACTTCACTGAACAGGAACCATCTTCCCATGTCACCGTCTCTCGTGTCCATCCACTCTTATTTTTTTTAATTTATATGTTGCACTCTTATATTAACTTTTAGTTTTTAGATTCTTAAGGCTCATTTTGTGTATTGAAATTACAGAAATGATATGTTACGATAGATAGTAATGTTTTTACATGACTAATCTGCTCGTTTTTTGACTTTACTTGTTCAGCTAGGTACACCAACAGTTAAATAACGAAAATAATGGCGTGAGATAGTCAGCGTGGGAGGAAAAGACGTTGGGTGGGTCTTAGTGCGAAATTGACTCGTTGCTTGGGATAGCAACGGTCTAAATGGTCACTGTGAAAGTGAAAAATAGTGTCACTGATGATGAGAAGAGTAGCTGTATCAGAAGAGCGTTATACAAGGCGATGTGAGAGGGCCACTACGAAGTGAAGGGAAAATTTGAGAAGTCAATGTGCCAGAGAGTATGTATAAGATATGTGTAAGAGAAGTTGCTGCGCAAGTGTGAATTGTGTTCTCTTCGTATTGCAAGATCATTGGTTTAAGATCTTGACGGTGTTTTGCCAAACAGGAAAAAAAGATCTGTGAACATTTATTAGATAAAAGTATTGCTTGTCTTCCGTAATGCTTTTCCTATTTCTTTCACAATGACATAGATCAATTATACAAAGTAATTAGTAAGACATTTTTTAAAGATGTCACCTTTCGATGGTGGGTGTCTAATGTACCCCAAGAATACTCGTACATGGAATCAACTTCCAACAAAGTATACTTAGGATATACAGAATAAAATGTCATTGAGTAAGCTCAACATGTCCTTTAAACCGGTACACAATAATGTAGACTGCTGCTTGTAGCCAAAGATAATAAGAGGGCGGCACTTAGCCAGACGAATCTCAAAGCAAAAAGCCGCCTTACCACTTAGGCAGGTATTCACAAACAATTGCAAGTTTATACTGAAACTTTAATGTGTCAAAATGTGTGTAGCATAGTACGACCAAATTCAAATTTTGACACTGTAGATTTAGGTTTAAACTCTGCATACCGGCCTAGTATTCAGTAGTGTGGACTAGCACAACTTTAGGCCGATATCGACTACGGCGCTTACTTTTATTTCGCCTAGGACGTCCTTTTCCGACTCTTCCATTCACTTCTGGAACATAAATTTGCTTTGTCACTCTTTCCTCATTCATTCTTTCTACATGACCAAACCACTGAAGCATTCCTTTCTTAATCCTGGTTATAGCATCATCTTGTAAACCACACTCTTCTTTTATCACACAATTTCCCACTTTGTCACTCAGATTCAGCCCTAACATGCTCCTTAGCGACCGCATTTCTACTGCATTTACTCCCGTGCTTCTTCTGCCACACCCAACTTTCACTACCATATGCTAAAGTAGACACCAACACAGCATTGTAAATTGCCATGCGTGCCTCTTTTGACACATTCTGACTTCACAATAGAGTATAGAGCCCCATTTACTCTATTTCCTGCGTTCACTCGTCAATCAACATCCTTATCACATCTCCCATCCCTGCTGACTACACAACCCAAATATACAAATTCATCTACTTGCTCGACCAACTCCCTTTCTATTCATATTCCACATATCGTTTTACTTTCTTCTCTTTCAAAAACCATAACTTTAGTCTTATTTGCGTTCACTTTTATAATTCCAAATACTGTCGGAAATTACTGATAATAATGATTTATTTCAACCAACATGGAAGGATTAATAACTGCGGAGGCTCAGAAGCAGTGTCAGAAACACAGACACAATCATTGTATAGACTTGAAAACCAACAATTGGGCACTGAGCACTGATACAGAATTTAGCGTAATAACGTCATAGTTTTTATATTTCACATAATAGACATATACATTTTTTTTAAATTTTACATACTAATATTCTAATTTACCTTAAAATAGCATATCAAACAAGTTTGAAGACACTATTAAAAGTAGTAAAAGTAAAAAAAAGTTATCCATCAATGATTGGTATCGACTACCCAATTTGTGTATTCTCACAATTTTCGTTTCGGCTAGTATTCGAAGCTTTTATGCCCAGCGACACAGATACTCATCACTAGGCCATACGTATTTGCTATATGATGCATGCGAGAAATGGTCGGTATAGAGAAAAACTCGAATGTGTCAAAAGTTCGTCTTTCCCCTAATCTAGTACATTGTTTCTTTTGTCACGTTATTGCAAGAAGATATTCAAATTCTTGACTATTATCCTTCTTAGTGATAAGTTACAATGTGGTTTTGTATGGTAAAGCACATTAGGTTAGTGAAAATCGTGGCGAATTGAGTTCGTGGGGAGTGGAGGTCGTGGGGAGTGGAGGTCGTGGGGAGTGGAGGTCGTGGGGAGTGGAGGTCGTGGGGAGTGGAGGTCGTGGGGAGTGGAGGTCGTGGGGAGTGGAGGTCGTGGGGAGTGGAGGTCGTGGGGAGTGGATGTCGTGGGGAGTGGAGATCGTGGGGAGTGGAGGTCGTGGGGAGTGGAGGTCTGGGGAGTGATGGGGAGTGGAGGTCGCGGCGAGTGAAGGTCGTGGCGAGTGAAGGTCGTGGCGATTTAGAATTGTCGAGTGGAGTGGAGGTCGTAGCAATTGAGGTCGTGGCAAGTGGTGGTCGTGGCGAGCGTGCGGGGTAGTCGTGGCGAGTGATGGTCGTGGCGAGTGGTGGTGTGGCGAGGTGGTCGTGGCGAGTGGTGGTCGTGGCGAGTGATGGTCGTGGCGAGTGTGGTCGTGGCGAGTAGTGCGTGGCGAGTGGTTGTCGTGGCGAGTGGTGGTTGTGGCGAGTGGTGGTCGTGGCGAGTGAAGCGTTGTATCGTACAACGATCGGTACAAAGAGAGAAGGGTATTTGCAATAGAATTGCGCAGTTACGCAGTGACTCAGCCTGCGAAAGTAGCTACATAGGTTTTTAAGAGAATTGAAATATTGTGTGGTTCATAAATGTTTATCAGTAACATGAAGACCTATATAATGTCGAACAATTATCCTATAAGGTAAAAAAAGGAAAAGCTATAGCATAGTACCAGTTAAATTGTTAGTTACAAAGGGCAAGTTTGCTACTTTTATATAATTGTAAGATTGCTTTTTGATTTTGTTGTCATTACAAGTAAAAATTGAAAATATATATATTGTCACATTTGATGTTATAAAAACAACTTACAAATTAAACAAGTTCGTCTTCTTAAATTTATATTTAATGTTATAAAATTTTCTTACTTAAGAATTTTATAATGCTGTGCAGCTTGAGTATGTACCCAGAGGGATCATAACTTATTTATAAAATATTTATGTTTAATGTTATGTAATTTCCTAACTTAGAACCTGGGTTCAGGGATGATACCAACTTAGATAAAGTTGAAACGTAAAACTTTATCTAAATACAAAATTTAACCCAAATTGTTAGAGCGGTTTGCGAGAAACCAATCACATATATTTTATAGTAGCTTAAAATTTAGGATATAAATTATAAATATAGTATGCGGCTAAAGTACCCAGAGTGGGACCTTAACTTGTACATACAGTGTAATGTTCATTAACCCTGATATTAGGTGATTCTAGTATTGGCGCTTTATTTTAAGATTTTTTAGAAATTATTTACCAGAAGAACATTAAATCAATAAAAACATCTAACCTTAATGCCGAACTTATTTTAAAATAAACTTAGCATTTTTGACGAAAGGAGCATTGATTAGTTAAAAGAAAGTACCTTGACATTCGATGGGTTTTTATAAATATTATATCTAGACTATCAACATTTTGTATTAACGAGTTCACAGAATTGTATTAATGAGAAATGGAAGTGGCAAATAGGATATTGAAATGTGTGCGCAGCTAACACATCTTCAAACGAAAAACAGCCCATATACATGTTAGAATATCTAGTATGTTAGCACAAAATGCAAACACGATGTTTTCTAGTATACTGTCATGTAGAAAATGCGTTTGATACTTTAAACATATTTTAAGTAACATCCTCATTGGTAGAAATCTTGCACACTGTTGATTGTTTAGTCCTTGTGACTATACACACAATACTAGTTTCTTTTCTGCAAACTGAAGACTGTCGTCCCATTGGTTGATGTCTACTTGAAACTTAAATTGTTTTTCCATCTTCTTTAAATTCATTTCTGTTTTATTATGCTTCAAATCTAATATACGGAGATAACGGATGTCCAGTAGGAAGATAGTTAACAGAACTATAATATACCATTTTTATTAACACTTGTCACAAGATCTAATTCAAGAAAGTAATTTATTGTAGGGTTGTAAGTTTTCAAAAACTTTCAGTTTCTTAAACGACTTTTTCGTATCAGCAATGAACTTTCTGTGCTGTGCTTTAATTTGGCAACTGTTAATTATGTTTCCCATTAATTAGTTATGAATTGAAAAAAGTTTCAATGCAAAATGGGAGATTATGTTTTTTTAAATAATTGTGTAAGAAAAACTAACACATACTTATTCGACATTATTAAAATTGCTGATAAATGACCTTTCCATTTTTATGTTTTACCTATATAAACTAATATTATGGATTATATTATAAAACTTAAATGAATTGTTAGTAATTTTAAAAATTATTCTATATTATAATATTACCGGACCTGACAAGTCTTCTTACCAGAGGGGTAATCCAATAGTTTTGCACACTTTCACATTGTTTGAAGATTTAAAAATAATCTATGGCCTGCTTCTTCAATATCGCATTGAATTTTGTATTAAAGCTCATTCTATTTATATTGTTAATTAATCAAAAGATTTCATTAAGAAAAAATATTTCTCTCGGTTATTGTGCACTGTTTGCGTTAAGATTATTTGTTTAAATCACTTATTTTTTATATAAAATTGTTCATCTCAAAAAAATATCGCGTTTCGAAATGATGTTTTCAAATATTTGATCAAAAAAACTTACGAATAAAGGGTTTGTATGAAGCCATTGCAAAATATGTTAATATGAATAACTCCAACAATTCAAAAACTTTTTATTTTTCACACATGTGTTAAACTTTTTTCAGCTTACAACCTAATATCACAGTTTGACTAGCTTCAGTTTAAAACTACCCTCGAATTCTGTTAACAAAGACTGATATCTTACTTGATGGTTCACTACTGGGCTTCAACACTTCTTTTTTCTCTTCTGGAACCCGCTCAGGACTTTCAGACTTCTCTTTATTCCGACGCATATAGCGATCCTTGTTGAAGTTCTTCAGTTCCTTGAAAGTAACAACCTCAGGCTCCTCGGATGGTTTCTCTTCTACCTCAATCTTTTCTTTACCTTTCTTTTTCGACTCTTTCGTCTTCTGTCGCTTTTCAGGTGACGAGCTACTAGAATTACTGTCCTTACTGGAGTTCTGATCTTTCTTTTTCCTTCGTTCTTTGGGGTTCTCCTTTCTCCTTTTAGTCGGAGCAGGAACATCCTCATCTTTATTTTCCTCTTTATTTATCTTAGGTATCGGTGGGAGCTTGTTTATTTTCTTAGGGTCTGGTATTTGAAGGCGGTCTATATAGTTATCGACGGCACTCCGTTCGCTTTCAGCTTTATCCTTGGCTTCTCTTTCCACGCGTAAATCTTCGCGTCTCTTATCGGCTTTCTCTTCGTCAGATTTCTTGGACCGTCTTTCTCTAGGGCGGTCAGAGAGCCTCGGGTCTCGACGGCGCGGGTCTTTAATGGCGGTTTCTGGTCTGACATCGATCGTGATAACGTTTTTGCGTTTTATGACGCGTTCTAACGGTTTGATGTCGAAGACATTGGGTGCAATGGGTGGGCCGTTGGGCACAGGGTGCACGGAGTGGGCGGGGTGAGGCACGTGGCCCACGTGTGGGACGTGGTTAGGTGGCGTGGGCTGAGGCTGAGGTGGAGGCCGGCGCGCAAGTCTCGGATCACGCCGGGCTGTCACAAGGGGGCCGCTCACCGGCGCTATGCGTCCACCGGGCGGTTTGTTCACCGGCTGAAAACATACATGTTCCAATGTTTTTATATAATTACAACGCAGTTATTACTGGTGCATATCAAAATTGATTTAAAATACGCCAAGAAAGAATTAATATGTTTCTGCACAATTTATAGTATTTTGTAGCTCACAATTTTCACGAGCGCCGGCGGTAAGTTTGTAACATGGTAGTAGGTAACATATACAATATTAAAGTTGTAGCACGAATGGGTTGGCTCGACCGAGGAAGGGCCTCGCCTCACAGAATACCAACGGAAAATAGCAGCTAAATGCTGCTGTGCCACCATCAGGTGGACTGCGTGCTTGTTTGTCACACCTTTATTCTATTTAAAAAAAAAACTGGAAATTGCAGTAATAATTTATAAAAAAATGTACATATACAAATAGAGTAAATGAGAAATATTTCTGCCTACAAACTGTTAACAGTTAGGCAGACTATGTACTGAAATATATTGTACGATTTTTCATTTAAGAATTAAATAAATGATAATAATAATAAACACACATCATCATCATCATTACAGCCCTTCACAGATCCTCTGCTTAACGTAGGCCTCCCTCAAGGAATGCCAAAAAACACAATAAATACACATTACCATCTTAATATACTTTTTGTACAATTAAAGTATTTTATTGAATGCATTTTTCACATTGCCAACCGGCTTACGTGGCAAACCTCCCCCATATGAAGCAATTTAGGGGGGAGGCCTATGTTCAGCAGTAGACTTTAATATGCTGTAACGGTTATAGCTGAGTCCTGAGCTGTAAAAGCCGCATAGTCTAACAAGCACCAACATCATCGAAACCATATACAGATATGGTTGCCTGCATTTTTCAAGTGCGCCAGCCGTAAGTACAATTATATAGAAGTTCATATTATCATATCAAGCGTTAATGTTAATGTCCTCCCGGCCAATTTTAACTATGGTAAAAATTTTATTAGAAGCTAACTGAGAAGCATTTACTCGTCCTAACCCTTGTAAGATTGCATGTAGTGATCCATAATACTTGTAACATAAAACATTTGTATGTTGTTAGGATGTTCCAAATGGGATCCTCCTCACTAAAAGATAACGTTTAGATTAATATGCACTATGCAGTGACAGTGGCTTAGATTCGTTTGTCATTTTGCTTTATATTAATTGAAGATGTAAGTGGATGAAGGTGATAACTCGCATTCTACTAATTTTGAGGAAATCAAGATTGAAGTTTCACTTTTGTTTTTTGAGATAAGTTGTTAGGAAATTGGTTTTTGATTTAAACTATAATGCAAAGTTGGGTAAAGAAACTTAAAAAATTAGGGTACGTGAGTAATTAAACACTTTTAATACTTTATGGTATATTATTTCGGAAAAAACTGAACGTAACTCTTTCTTTCACTAACATTTTTAAAAAATCTTGGCATTTTAGCTATTTCAAGTTAGGTGTTAAGTAACATTATGTACTTAAAGTATTACAAAAAGGTAAACATTATTTAAATATTCCTTAAAACATTATTAATATAAACGTAAGATAATAAAACAGAGATAACTCTCGACAATAAAATAAAACGGATCAAAATAATACTATTTTTCAATTAAAATCGACTCATAGAAGTACCGATATTCCGGTTTTACGTACTTAAGTTGGTCTCAAAGATTTTCTTTTTTTCCACTGATACGGTACCATATTTTCCGTTCGTACGCGGAATCTCCACAGAATTGCGCAACTGTGATCTTTTTAAAATGTCCCAACTTTTTGAAGGGTGTCATTTCACCGTACGTTTCTTTATATAGGTATATATATTATTATTGGAACCATATTCATCTACGCGTATCCATTTAATACCATCCCTAAAACTTACTTTGTCATTGTTTACATTTTTTGTCTGTTAAATTAAGTTTTTCCTGTAACTCACCAAATGACACTGAAATGCGCGCTCACATTAATGACTGTATTATTTCGGGAAGCTTTAAATATAATATTCCCGTATTGTTCAAGAACATAAACTGTATCGTGGTTCCTAAGGACTTTCTATCGTTTCTATCAGTTGATCGAGCAAGCAGATAAGTTTTTACATTTGGTATGCGTATTTAGCAGGGATGGGAGATATGATAAGTATATAGAACGACGATTGAACGCAGGAAGAAGAGTAATTGGGGCCCTACACTCTACTGTGAAGAGTCTGAATATGGCAATTCACAATGCTGTGTTGTTTCCTACTTTAACGTATGGTAGTGAAAGTTGGGTGTGGCAGAAGAAGCAGGAGAGTAGAATAAACGCAGTAGAAATGCGGTCGTTAAGGCGTATGTTCGGGCTGAATCTGAATGACAGGGTGAGAAATTGCGTGATAAGAGAAAAGTTTGGTTTGCAAGATGATGTTGTGACCAGGATTAAGAAAGGAATGCTTCGGTGGTTTGGTCATGTGGAAAGAACGAATGAGGAAAGAGTGACAAAGAAAATTTATGTTGCAGAAGTGAATAATGGCAGAGTCGGAAAGGGACGTCCTAGGCGAAATTTATCGATCAAATTGGCGATATATTGAAAATGGGCCAAATTAAGAGTACTCTTAACCGACGAGCATGTGTGCGTAGGTATATGTATGTGGAGGAGGTGAGAGAGGTGTGTCAGGCATGAGTGTTTATGTTTATGTTTTTTTTTTCTATCCTACCGAAATCACAATCCGAGTCTTAATAAGTATGGCCAACCTCAAGGAACTTGTGCTCTATTACTTTGAAATATCCTTTTAATATAAGGTATTGATACAGTGCAATCATGTTAAAGTTTTTTGTTCTGTCCGGCACATGAATCCGACCAGATCAATAAATGGTCTTGGTTTTTGACAACTTGGATCTACCTCCAAAAATCTTAGAATTTCGCTTTCAACTTCAACACTTCCGCGATCCGCTATTATAGAGTGACTGACAGCTGCTTCCAGTAATAATTTTGCCCCTGTTTTGCCTCCTGCCATTGCTTTTCTACTTTGCCAACGTAAATTCACTATTATAAATAATATTTTTTGTACACAATACAAGCTACAATTACGCACTCTGTTAGAAAGCCCGCGACAATGTGATAATTTTAATGACAGAATGAAAATCAAAACAATTGACTGATGTGAACGAATGAAGGTACTATGTATGTTGCATAACACCTTCATTCACGGAGAAGTGATGTCGTGTTTTTCGAATATCGTTCGCTGAGTGGAAGAAAGTGTTATGTTCGTACCTACATATCACTTTCTTCTACGACAAAAAAATAAAACTTTTATTTTATTTATCAAGAAGCTAGTGATATGGGCTCATACCTCTTTGATCCAGTACCTTTTTCAAACGAAACTGAACATAACACCTTTATCAGCATTCTTTTTTTAAAATACGTCTTAAATCGATAGTTTTAGGGTCTAAAATCATTTTATATCGATATATCACCTTCATCTATGCAAAAAATACCAAAACCTGAAAATGCGACATATCACCTTCATCCACTTATGTCTTCAATTGTTACTCGCTCTTATTGTATTTGGTAGTAATAATAATAATGTCCTGCAGACCGAATTTCGGCCACGGCGGCCTGCCTCAACGGAGACTAGCCATCGGCGCAGGACAGGATTTTAGTGCCCAAGTGTATGAGCAAGCACAGGCGCACTCTCTGTTCCCTCACTCTCATAATCCGATGGGACGCTAAACCGACACGATCGGAGAGAAATCAGGCGCAGGACCAACGGCATTACGTGCTTTCCGAGGCACGGGAGTAAGACACCGCCAACTTCCTGACTCCGGGCAACTACTGAGAATTTCTTGAAGGAAAAACTCAATAATTAATTTTTTTGGCCCGACCCGGGATTCGAACCCAGGACCTCATGATCAGCAGTCGCACTACTACAATCACTAGACCAACGAGGCAGTAAAATTTTTTTACTGCCTCGTTGGTAGTATGTAACTATTGACCCTATGGATTATTTTGGCGCATATTACTTATTTTTAACCACAGCTAAGGTTGAAACCTTTTTGAGTAATAATGTCCAATGAGGGTAATCACGATTTTTTCTGTCACCAAGGCGGCACCACTTTGGACCAAGGTGAAATATGTGACATATTTCAAAACAGGAGGGTTAATTTGTTAGAAAAATGTTATGCTAACACTTTTTGATACAATCTTCGACATCAACAATAGCAATGACCTATATGTACACTAGTCACAAAAGTTAATTAATAATCAAAAATTAATAAATTAAAAAAATCAAAAATTTTAGGTGATTTTCAACAAGCTGTAAGTCCGAGGAAAATGATCGTACAGCAAAAGAAAAGAAAATTGTAATAATAATAATAGTTTTATTCAATTGATATTGATTATCAATTGAATAAAACTATTATTTACGGATTTTATCGCGTTTAATACAACTTAATTTATTTTTATTATCCCGACGTTTCGGGTGCTTTACAGCACCCATGGACACGCGAGGGAATCATGTCGATAAAATCAACTTTAATTAACTAATTATCAACGCGATAAAATCCGTAAATAATAGTTTTATTCAATGTGTATGAAACATTATTACAAAAAAAAGATTAAAAAATTGTTAAGACGCAAAAATTTGGAAGTTGTTTTTCGGAAGTTTTTCCTTAGGATCACTCCAGAGCCAAATATGATTAAAAAAATCATGGGCAGATGTGAAAACTAGATACTTGGAGCTACAATTTGCTTTTTTGTTGCTGTACGATAATTACTCTCGGAATTGAAGCTTGTTAAAAATCACCCAAAAAGGTAGAATTTTTTTTAATAAAAAATAATAAAATAAATTTCTTCGCAACCTTCCGCTAAATAAATACAACGCGGTCACATTAACTTGACGCATGGCTTTGATGACGTCATTTACAACAGTGTATAATTGCCGACATAAGTCGTGAGCACACTTTTTATTGGTCGATACGACGTTGATCACGCTGTCGTTCAACGTGATTGGTTCATCAGTCGATTCTCGACGCCTATTGGTTTCGAACGTATTATTCGGCTTC